GGTACCTACCTTATGATTTAGATTTTGGAAAACTTTGAAGGGTCATAACTTTTTTTCTATTATAGATAGAAAGCTGAAACTTTCACTGAATTTTATCCCTTTCAAAGGACTACAATCCCTGAAAATTTCAGCTCATTTGCAGTTATAGTTCCTGAGATAAAATCGTGTTAAGCAATTTGGGGTGATTTATCAATTTTTCAATTTTTCTGAGTGCCTTTTTTCATAGATTTCGGCCTCAAATCTGAGAATAATTTAGTGTATGGAGTTTGGGGGATGTTGATTGACCATTAGGATACAAAATCTCGACAAAAAAAAATTTGAAATTTCATCGTTTTAGTAAGAAGGTACCTACCTTATGATTTAGATTTTGGAAAACTTTAAAAGGTCATAACTTTTTTTCTATTATAGATAGAAAGCTGAAACTTTCACTGAATTTTATCCCTTTCAAAGGACTACAATCTCTGAAAATTTCAGCTCATTTGCACTTATAGTTCCTGAGATAAAATCGTGTTAAGCAATTTGGGGTGATTTATCAATTTTTCAATTTGTCTGAGTGCCTTTTTTCATAGATTTCGGCCTCAAATCGGAGAATTATTTAGTGTATGGAGTTTGGGGGATGTTGATTGACCATTAGGATACAAAATCTCGACAAAAAAAAATTTGAAATTTCATCGTTTTAGTAAGAAGGTACCTACCTTATGATTTAGATTTTGGAAAACTTTGAAGGGTCATAACTTTTTTTCTATTATAGATAGAAAGCTGAAACTTTCACTGAATTTTATCCCTTTCAAAGGACTACAATCCCTGAAAATTTCAGCTCATTTGCACTTATAGTTCCTGAGATAAAATAGTGCTAAGCAATTTGGGGTGATTTATCAATTTTTCAATTTTTCTGAGTGCCTTTTTTCATAGATTTCGGCCTCAAATCTGAGAATAATTTAGTGTATGGAGTTTGGGGGATGTTGATTGACCATTAGGATACAAAATCTCGACAAAAAAAAATTTGAAATTTCATCGTTTTAGTAAGAAGGTACCTACCTTATGATTTAGATTATGGAAAACTTTAAAAGGTCATAACTTTTTTTCTATTATAGATAGAAAGCTGAAACTTTCACTGAATTTTATCCCTTTCAAAGGACTACAATCCCTGAAAATTTCAGCTCATTTGCACTTATAGTTCCTGAGATAAAATAGTGCTAAGCAATTTGGGGTGATTTATCAATTTTTCAATTTTTCTGAGTGCCTTTTTTCATAGATTTCGGCTTCAAATCGGAGAATAATTTTGTGTATGGAGTTTGGGGGATGTTGATTGACCATTAGGATACAAAATCTCGACAAAAAAAAATTTGAAATTTCATCGTTTTAGTAAGAAGGTACCTACCTTATGATTTAGATTATGGAAAACTTTAAAAGGTCATAACTTTTTTTCTATTATAGATAGAAAGCTGCAACTTTCACTGAATTTTATCCCTTTCAAAGGACTACAATCCCTGAAAATTTCAGCTCATTTGCAGTTATAGTTCCTGAGATAAAATCGTGTTAAGCAATTTGGGGTGATTTATCAATTTTTCAATTTTTCTGAGTGCCTTTTTTCATAGATTTCGGCTTCAAATCGGAGAATAATTTTGTGTATGGAGTTTGGGGGATGTTGATTGACCATTAGGATACAAAATCTCGACAAAAAAAAATTTGAAATTTCATCGTTTTAGTAAGAAGGTACCTACCTTATGATTTAGATTATGGAAAACTTTAAAAGGTCATAACTTTTTTTCTATTATAGATAGAAAGCTGAAACTTTCACTGAATTTTATCCCTTTCAAAGGACTACAATCCCTGAAAATTTCAGCTCATTTGCACTTATAGTTCCTGAGATAAAATAGTGCTAAGCAATTTGGGGTGATTTATCAATTTTTCAATTTTTCTGAGTGCCTTTTTTCATAGATTTCGGCTTCAAATCGGAGAATAATTTTGTGTATGGAGTTTGGGGGATGTTGATTGACCATTAGGATACAAAATCTCGACAAAAAAAAATTTGAAATTTCATCGTTTTAGTAAGAAGGTACCTACCTTATGATTTAGATTTTGGAAAACTTTGAAGGGTCATAACTTTTTTTCTATTATAGATAGAAAGCTGAAACTTTCACTGAATTTTATCCCTTTCAAAGGACTACAATCCCTGAAAATTTCAGCTCATTTGCACTTATAGTTCCTGAGATAAAATCGTGTTAAGCAATTTGGGGTGATTTATCAATTTTTCAATTTGTCTGAGTGCCTTTTTTCATAGATTTCGGCCTCAAATCGGAGAATTATTTAGTGTATGGAGTTTGGGGGATGTTGATTGACCATTAGGATACAAAATCTCGACAAAAAAAAATTTGAAATTTCATCGTTTTAGTACCTTATGATTTAGATTTTGGAAAACTTTGAAGGGTCATAACTTTTTTTCTATTATAGATAGAAAGCTGAAACTTTCATTGAATTTTATCCCTTTCAAAGGACTACAATCCTTGAAAATTTCAGCTCATTTGCAGTTATAGTTCCTGAGATAAAATCGTGTTAAGCAATTTGGGGTGATTTATCAATTTTTCAATTTTTCTGAGTGCCTTTTTTCATAGATTTCGGCTTCAAATCGGAGAATAATTTTGTGTATGGAGTTTGGGGGATGTTGATTGACCATTAGGATACAAAATCTCGACAAAAAAAAATTTGAAATTTCATCGTTTTAGTAAGAAGGTACCTACCTTATGATTTAGATTTTGGAAAACTTTGAAGGGTCATAACTTTTTTTCTATTATAGATAGAAAGCTGAAACTTTCACTGAATTTTATCGCTTTCAAAGGACTACAATCCCTGAAAATTTCAGCTCATTTGCACTTATAGTTCCTGAGATAAAATCGTGTTAAGCAATTTGGGGTGATTTATCAATTTTTCAATTTTTCTGAGTGCCTTTTTTCATAGATTTCGGCTTCAAATCGGAGAATAATTTTGTGTATGGAGTTTGGGGGATGTTGATTGACCATTAGGATACAAAATCTCGACAAAAAAAAATTTGAAATTTCATCGTTTTAGTAAGAAGGTACCTATACCTTATGATTTAGATTTTGGAAAACTTTGAAGGGTCATAACTTTTTTTCTATTATAGATAGAAAGCTGAAACTTTCACTGAATTTTATCGCTTTCAAAGGACTACAATCCCTGAAAATTTCAGCTCATTTGCACTTATAGTTCCTGAGATAAAATCGTGCTAAGCAATTTGGGGTGATTTATCAATTTTTCAATTCTTCTGAGTGCCTTTTTTCATAGATTTCGGCTTCAAATCGGAGAATAATTTTGTGTATGGAGTTTGGGGGATGCTGATTGACCATTAGGACACAAAATCTCGACAAAAAAAAAATTTTAAATTTCATCGTTTTAGTAAGAAGGTACCCACCTTTTGATTTAGATTTTGGAAAACTTTGAAGGGTCATAACTTTTTTTCTATTATAGATAGAAAGCTGAAACTTTCACTGAATTTTATCCCAATCAAGGGACTACAATCCCTGAAAATTTCAGCTCATTTGCAGTTATAGTTCCTGAGATAAAATCGTGTTAAGCAAAATGGGGGTGATTTATCAATTTTTCAATTTTTTTGAGTGCCTTTTTTCATAGATTTCGGCCTCAAATCGGAGAATAATTTAGTGTATGGAGTTTGGGGGATGTTGATTGACCATTAGGATGCAAAATCTCGACAAAAAAAAATTGGAAATTTCATTGTTTCTGAGTTCCTGAGATAAAATCGTGTTAAAAGACCTTTAGGTTGTAGGAGAAAAACACTAATTAATGGTAATAGGAAGAAGACAAATATAGATGAAGGGAAATAATGAAATTGAAGGAGAAGACAAATCATAAAAAAGACACTAAAAATGATGACTGGGAGACAACTACAAAAGAAAATTGAGATTCCGAAGATATAGAGGACAATCCAAAAAACGGATAATTTTTCACAAAATGGTTGTTAAAAGGCCTTTAGAAAAATCAAACAAATTAATGAAAATAAGAGAAAGACAAATATATAAATATTGAAACTGTAAAAGGCACAAGGATAACTCCAAAACAAAATTAAAATGTTGAAGAATCAGAATAAGATGGATGAAGTTTTAAAAAATATGAATAAAGAAAATCCTCGCTGTTGTCTAATCTACTATAAATTCGCCGACTCCGAAACGCCCCTGGTCCGAGTAAAAAACAAATAGCTCCGACATTAGCGAAATATATCCTCTCCCATGTTCCATTTTGCTCTCTCTCCGGATTTTTTTTTTGTGTGTGCGGCAACGTTTTCCCGACTAAATTGACGATGTATCTTTATTTATAAGACTTTTTTGCCCTCCGTTGTCGTTGCGCTTTCTTCGTAGAGGAAAAACGCCCCCCGTTTTTATCGGATTTGAGGGCCGAGCTTCTCTACTCCGGAGTAAATATTGATGGAAAATATTACTTAGAGGGTAACAAGGGGAAACGAACCTTGTCTTATTTGATGCAGAGAGGATTTAGCTTTAAAATTACAACAATTCATTAACAAAATATAAACTTGGCTGGGTAAGTTTAATTTAATTTTCCACCCCCGCACGAGGTAAATCAAGCCAATAAATTTTCTTTTATCTGTGTTTTTTTTTAAGGCTGTTATAATAAAATTATTATTAAAAGCTACCCCCAGCCAGAGAGAGCGGCTTTTAGTTAAATGAGAATATGATAAAGGGGAAACGAGCAAGAAAATGTTTTGTGACTTGACAAGGAAGATTTGTTGAAAATACAGTAGTAAATTAAAAAATCTTGGGCATCAGTTGAGGGGGCGCAAAGTTCGTTAAAAATTAATCTTTTTTATTGTCAAGAATCCGCCTTTTCAGGGATGATTTTTTCTTTTTTCTTGAGTCAATTAAATTATACAAAAGGGCAATTTGAATGAAGTAAATTTATCAATTATTGAAGTGTGAAACTAATCAACTTTTTTCTCTTTTTTTTTTTAGTGTGATAGTGAAGGAGAAGATGATAAGGTAAGTGGTTTATTTTGAGTTTTTCTACGATTTTGAATAAGGTTCTAAAGATCTAATGAAACTTCTATTAGAATCAGAAAGTTCTTGGTTTGTAGAATTGAGAATCTTGATATGAGAAGAGTCGAAAACCTTAATTCAGAATCCAGAGGTCCTATATGAAACTTAAGATTCACGAATTTTCTCATGAAACCACTAAAAAATTGTAACGGCTTGCAAAATTGCAAGATCTGTAGAGAAAATATGAACTTGTGAAGATCTGAAGGTCCTGAGGATCTAGCAAAGATCTAATGAAACTTCTCTAAGAATGAAAAAGTTCTCAAGGTTTGTAGAATTCAGAATCTTAAGATTCGAAAACCACAATTCAGAATCCAGATGTCTTCAGAATCTGACAGGATTTTGAGATTCTCATGAAACTACTAAGAAATTGTGACGGCTTGCAAAAACATTTTCATGCAAACATGTCAGAATCTGAAGGTCCTAAAGATCTAACAACGACATTACTATAGATAGTTACAAACAAGGGGTAAAACGCCATCCCATAATTGGTGCAAACAATTTTTTACGCATAATTCCTCAAAATTCCCACAAATTCCTCCAGATATCCCATCACAAATTCCTCCAAATACCACACCACCAACTTCTCCAAATACCCCACAAATTCCTATAAAAAAAGGGAAAATTTTGAAACTTTTTGTATATAAAGAGGAAGGTGAGCAGCTCATTTTCCAAAAATTTCAAATTTTTCCGGTGGAAAACAGCAACTAAAAAAATCTTGGAAATCAACCTACAATAACTAAATTAATTGAAAATACAGTCTTACACATTTCAAAGTGTTCCTGGAAAATTAATGAAGGGAAAATTTTGAAACTTTTTGCATGTAAAGAAGAAGGTAAGAAGCTCATTTTCCCAAAATTTCAAATTTTTCCAGCGGAAAACAGCAACATGAAAAATCTTGAAAATCAACCTACAAAAACTGAATTATGTAGTTGAAAATACAGTCTCATACATTTCAAAGTTTTCCTGGAAAACTAGTAAAGAGAGAAATTTGAAACTTTTTGCATGTAAAGAGGAAGGTGAAAAGCTTATTTTCCCAAAATTTCAAATTTTTCCAGTGGAAAATAACAATATGAAAAAACTTGGAAATCAACCTACATAAACTAAATTAATTGAAAATACCGTCTCACACATTTCAAAGATTTTCTGGAAAACTAGTGAAAGGAAAATTTTGAAACTTTTTGCATGTAAAGAGAAAGGTGAGCAGCTCATTTTCCCAAAATTTCAAATTTTTCCAGTGGAAAACAGCAACATGAAAAATCTTGGAAATCAACCTACAAAAACTGAATTAGTTTAAAATACAGTCTCACGCATTTCAAAGTTTTCCTGGAAAACTAGTGAAGGGAGAAATTTGAAACTTTTTGCATGTAAGTAAAGAGGAAGGTGAGAAGCTCATTTTCCCAAAATTTCAAATTTTTCCAGTAGAAAGCAGCAACATGAAAAATCTTGGAAATCAACCCACAAAAACTGAATAAGTTGAAAATACAGTCTCACACATTTCAAAGTTTTCCTGGAAAACTAGTGAAGAGAGAAATTTGAAATTTTTTACCTGTGAAGAAAAGAGGAAGGTGAGAAGCTCATTTTCCCAAAATTTCAAATTTTTCCAGTGGAAAACAGCAATATGAAAAATCTTGGAAATTAACCTACAATAACTGAATTAATTGAAAATACAGTGTCACACATTTCACAGGTTTCCTGGAAAACTAGTGAAGGGAAAATTTTGAAACTTTTTGCATGTAAAGAGGAAGGTGAGAAGCTCATTTTCCCAAAATTTCAAATTTTTCCAGTAGAAAATAACAATATGAAAAATATTGGAAATCAACCTACATAAACTGAATTAATTGAAAATACAGTCTCACACATTTTAAAGATTTCCTGGAAAACTAGTGAAGAGAGAAATTTGAAACTTTTTACATGTAAAGAAAAGAGGAAGGTGAGAAGCTCATTTTCCCAAAATTTCAAATTTTTCCAGTAGAAAATAACAATATGAAAAATCTTGGAAATCAACCTACATAAACTGAATTAGTTGAAAATACAGTCTCACACATTTCAAAGTTTTCCTGGAAAACTAGTGAAGGAAAAATTTTGAAACTTTTTGCATGTAAAGAGGAAGGTGAGAAGCTCAATTTCCCAGAATTTCAAATTTTTCCAGTAGAAAATAACAATATGAAAAATCTGGGAATTCAACCTACATAAACTGAATTAGTTGAAAATACAGTCTCACACATTTCAAAGTTTTCCTGGAAAACTAGTGAAGGAAAAATTTTGAAACTTTTTGCATGTAGAGAGGAAGGTGAGAAGCTCATTTTCCCAAAATTTCAAATTTTTCCAGTAGAAAATAACAATATGAAAAATATTGGAAATCAACCTACATAAACTGAATTAATTGAAAATACAGTCTCACACATTTTAAAGATTTCCTGGAAAACTAGTGAAGAGAGAAATTTGAAACTTTTTACATGTAAAGAAAAGAGGAAGGTGAGAAGCTCATTTTCCCAAAATTTCAAATTTTTCCAGTAGAAAATAACAATATGAAAAATCTTGGAAATCAACCTACATAAACTGAATTAGTTGAAAATACAGTCTCACACATTTCAAAGTTTTCCTGGAAAACTAGTGAAGGAAAAATTTTGAAACTTTTTGCATGTAAAGAGGAAGGTGAGAAGCTCAATTTCCCAAAATTTCAAATTTTTTCAGTAGAAAATAACAATATAAAAAATCTGGGAATTCAACCTACATAAACTGAATTAGTTGAAAATACAGTCTCACACATTTCAATATTTTCTTGGAAAACTAGTGAAGGGAAAATTTTGAAACTTTTTGCATGTAAAGAGGAAGGTGAGAAGCTCATTTTCCCAGAATTTCAAATTTTTCCATTAGAAAATTACAACATGAGGAATCTTTTGAAATCAACCTACAATAACTGGATTAATTGAAAATACAGTTTCACATATTTCAAAGTTTTCCTGGAAAACTAGTGAAAAGAAACTTTTGAAACTTTTTGCATGTAAGGAGGAAGGTGAGAAGCTCATTTTCCCAAAATTTCAAATTTTCTCAGTAGAAAACAGCAACATGAAAAATCTTGGAAATTGACTTACAATAACTGAATTAATTGAAAATACAGTCTCACACATTTCAAAAATTTCCTGGAAAACTAGTGAAGGGAAAATTTTGAAACTTTTTGCATGTAAAGAAGAAAGTGAGAAGCTCATTTTCCCAAAATTTCGAATTTTTTCAGTGGAAAACAGCAACATGAAAACTCTTGGAAATCAACCTACAAAAACTGAATTAGTTGAAAAAACAGTTTCACACATTTCAAAGTTTTCCTTGAAAACTAATGAAGTGAGAAATTTGAAACTTTTTGCATGAAAAGAAGAAGGTGAGAAGCTCATTTTCCCAAAATTTCAAATTTTTCCAGTAGAAAGCAGCAACATGAAAAATCTTGGAAATCAACCTACCGCAACCTACATAAACTATGAATAAGTTGAAAATACAGTCTCACACATTTCAAAGTTTTCCTGGAAAACTAGTGAAGAGAGAAATTTGAAACTTTTTACATGTAAAGAAAAGAGGAAGGTGAGAAGCTCATTTTCCCAATATTTCAAATTTTTCCAGTGGAAAACAGGAACATGAAAAATATTGGAAATTAACCTACAATAACTGAATTAATTGAAAATACAATCTCACACATTTCACAGGTTTCCTGGAAAACTAGTGAAGGGAAAATTTTGAAACCTTTTGCAATGAAAAGAGGAAGGTGAGAAGCTCATTTTCCCAAAATTTCAAATTTTTCCAGTAGAAAACAGCAATATGAAAAATCTTAGAAATCAACCTACAAAAATTGAATAAGTTGAAAATACAGTCTCACACATTTCGAAGTTTTCCTGGAAAACTAGTGAAAGGAAAATTTTGAAAATTTTTACATATAAGTTAAGACTAAGGTGAGAAGCTCATTTTCCCAAAGTTTCAGATTTTTCCAGTAGAAAATAACAACATGAAAAATCTTGGAAATCAGCCTACAAAAACTGTATTCATTATTCTTTTGAATTTTTTAAATTTGACAATTTCCTTTAAATTCCTCATAAATTCCTCACAAATTCTCCAAAATTCCCCATAAATTCTTCCAAATTCCCTATAAATTCCCCAAATTCTTATAAGTTCCTCCAAATTCCTCACAAATTTCTCTAAATTTCCCACAAATTCCTCTTAATTCCCCACCTTTTTCGCAAAGAATTCCTAGGTGGTTTGCCCCTTGGTTACAAACCTTCAGGTTACATAGTAGGTACATATTTACATTATATAAAATTTACGTAAATGTCACAATATACCATTTGAACCGTTAAACAAGTACAAATTTGATGATCGAAAATCCATTTATACAGCAGTGACAACTGGACTTCGGACAACCCTTTTTAAAATATTCATTGGGGTTTGGACCGGAGCGTGGAAAATACGAGGTTATAAATTCGCAAACGACGCGTGCATTATTTTAACCCCAGTTCGACGCTCTCTTCTTCCATATTTAATGGGGCCCCGATGTGAAAATCGAGCCGAACACTTAAACCCGATAAACGATTTAATAAATCAAATTTGGGTGTATGTATTTTAAAGGGAGATACGATAGATTTGAAAATGGAAGAAATGCTTTACAGTTGGAGATGAAATTGGATCAAAACTGTTCAAGATTGTGTGCTAAATAGGTACACGATTTTCTATACACAAAGAGCACTTGAGCTATTAGGGCACTCGACAGAGTGTTTCTGCACATATAACGCCCGGTTCTCCTTACTCTAGCGACTGAAACTTTTTGAAATTTTGTGCTGATAACAAAAACCATTTAAATTGTTATCCAATCGAGAGATTTAATTAAATTCCTATAATAGTTTCATTCGGATGCAAAACCACTTAAATATTAATTTGACGATAATAATCCGTCGACCACACCT